AAAAAAAAAAAAAAATCAAATGTGTAGAAAGTAAATGCATCTGTTTTCCCAGGTTCACTGTTTTCATAAAACACTCCTCCATCGTCAACAATCCTCAAAACGGCCGCGGTCAGAAAGGGTCACGATGGAGCCTAAACCCGCCCCGAGCGAGACGTTTTTCATCGTGATCCGTGGCAAGTCCAGGAAGGGTTTTTGCAGAGGCTGCATCGGTCGCGTGGAGGCRGAGACGCCCTCCGGAGAGGTGATGGGGCTCCTGTACGGATGTGGCACCAACGCRGGCAGCCCCAAAAACGGAGGCCCGGTGAGGAAGGAGGACATTTACCCTCTGAGCCGCCACCAGGCCCAGCTGCTGCTCTTCATCTCCAGCACCAGCCGACGCCTGGAGGTGCTGTGCAACCCGCAGCTCTTCTCGGCCGTCTGCGAGCTGTCTCAGGACGACCTGGTGGTGGTCCGGCACAAGAAGGGACACGTCCCCGGACTGGTGAAGAACCTGATGCAGATTGGGAGGAAGGAGAGCAAAGAGGATCTGCACATGCTTGGCTTTGAGCTGGAATTTGTGGTGAGCTGTGTAGTTTTTATCCAGATGTGTCTTTGTTAATGCACAAAGTTTACAGCAGTGGAAGAACTGCAGACGCATGCTGGTGAAACCTTCCTCACAACAGAGCTTAATCTCCAAGGATCTGTTGGTCTTTTAACAAAATGATCAGTGTGATAAAAACCTCCAGGTGACATTTGGACGAAGCTTGCACAGATGTTTGCTCTGCAGATCTACACAGGAGATGCTGTTGGCACTTTATTGGTTGTTTTTCTTGTTTTGTTTGTCGTAGGACACCGACACCTTCCTGTCAGTGAAGCCTGCTGCTCCTCTGCCCATTTTCAGCGCAGCAGACATCGTCCAGGTGGTTCCGTCGTACTCCGTCCCGCTCGGACTGCAGTGGAGAGAYGGTAAATATGCAAGTACGTGAAGCTCATCTGCTTTAACACATAGTGCAGAAACTTCTGATTTGTTTCATCAAATTTAACACAGGAAACAGCAAATTAAMTACAGACATTTTTAAGTTTAAACACTCGTGGCTCCAGAGGTGGTGCAGTAAWATCACSGACTGGAAAGACCGGTCTTGTTGCTCAGGAATGTGYAACTTTTGAGTCATCACATATTCTCATATTTTAGCACACAACTCCACTTCATCTGCGTGCCTCTTTTATGCGTCACGCTGGCTTGAAGTCGGTCTGTCTGAGTTGCGTAAGATGAAAAAAACAAAACAATGTTGCATGAGTTTCTAACACCCTGCGTGTGTGTCTGCAGGTACAGGTAGGAAAACCGTGTCACGCATCAACTCCATGCCCAGCATTGGAAGAAGTGCGCAGCAAGCCCCAGAGGAGCGAACGGGGCCGAGCGAGGTTCAGAACCAGCAGCTGAGCTCGGCTCACGTGCCTCTGGAGGTGGGCTCCATGGTGGAGGTCCTCTCCAACACGGGGGTCAGAGTGTACGGGGTCATCCGCTGGTTGGGGGTCCCAGAGGGGAAGGCGGGTGAATGGGCGGGGGTGGAACTGGTGAGTGACCCGACGTTTTGATGCATTCGTGGCGATTCGGGAGGTCAGGCTGAGTTTTTGCRTCTCGTGGTTTCAGGACTTCGACGTGAGAGGCTGCTCTGATGGGAAGTACGGAGATCAGAGGTTTTTCACCTGCAAGGAAAAGAGGGCTTTGTTCGTCCCCGTCAGGAAGTGCAGCCCTGACAGCAGGTTTGTCAGCTGCTCCACGCCAAGTCCCCTCAGAGCCGCCGAAACACCTCCAGGTCAGACATTTTCCCTCTGTTTTCTGAACTCTCACATTACACTTATTTACAACAGTCTACAAAACTTTACATCATTTTATTAAAGCTGATGTTACCTACTGATCACTCAACAGTCATAAACACAGTAACTGCTGAGTGATCACTGCTGAAATTAGCTGAAAAACATAAAAATTGTTGGAGTGAAAAGAGACAAAATCATGGATAAAAGCCAAACTGAGCAAACCATTAGCTAAAATCTGAAGGGTATCTGAAAGTATAAAAGGGCTAGCTAGATGCTAAAGGTAACAAAAGCCTAACTAGAAGCTAAAATTACCAGTAGGGTAGCTAAGGGTTTAAGAAAATAGTGCATTTTTTCTGAAGCAGTTTAAAGAGAAACTGCAGAGATCCTAATGTATTTCTTTGGCAAAATGTCTGTAAATAAAGTTAAATACAGTGAAAAAAAACAATCAAAAAATCATAGCATCAGTCTAAACAGCACAAAAAGTAAGGAAATACCTTTATGGTAGATTATTTCTTTGTTGTAGCAATTCTTGGCAATAAATCTTATACTGTTGGTGCCACATTTGTGAGGAACATGTATTTGTGGGATGAGCAGTAGAGCTGAGTATGTGGGTTGTTCTCAGGAAAGATTTGCCAAAACTCTGTCAAACAGCTTCTTTTGCTGTAGCTTCTGGTACCCCCAAGTGCTGCCAATCAGGTGTCCGGCATAAGATTTATTACCAAGAAGCATTATCGCAACAGAGAAATAATCTACCAAACACAAGTTTCCTTACTTTTTGTAGTAAGTATAGTTACCTCAAAATTTTGATAAATTCACCCACTTGAGCAGATTTTCAGGGTTGCAGAGGATCTGGTGTCTCTCTGCAGCAGTCCCTGTGTCAGAGGCAGTCCATCACAGGGACACCCAGAGACAGTTTAGAGTTGTCAGTGGACCTGACATGCATGCTTTGTGTCTGTGGGAGGAAACTGGAGTACATGGAGAAAACTCACACATGCACAGAGAGAACATGAACCTGTGAGGCAACAGTTCTAACCACTGCTCCATCTGCCCTGTTTAAAGGCACAGTGTGTAGGATTTTGTCAAGTCTTTTAGCCAAAATTGAGATAATCACTAATGACAATAATAAAAACATGTCTAATCATTGCAGACAAAGACCTTGTTTTATTATTTTTACCTTATAAAAAGCTGTTTATATCTCCTTGGTTGCGGGTCACCGCTACAGGCAGCCACCATCTTGCACCGCCATCTTGTCTAYGAAGGCTCATGAAGGACAAACTGCGGTGGCGGCGTCAAAAACGGTTTTAGTTGTAATACTATAAATGTAATATTTGTTGTCTGTCATTGTAGCTGGGATAATTTTACTTATTAAAGCTCATAATCTTACCACTTGAAACATCACTAGCCCTGAAGCTGCTGGTAGACATCGCGGTTGGAATTATCAAAGGTTTTTGACACCTGAGRGACACCGTAGCAACTCCTTTGTGTTTGGAAGCGGGGGGTGGGGGTGGGGGGAGGACCAGGGAGGATGATTCAACCACTCAACCACTAGATGTCGCCGAAAACAACAAATCCTACACACTGTGCCTTTAAGTGTACAGAAGTAGACCGATTGGGGGTGCAGAAAATTTAAAAAAGGAAAATATTAGTTGAATGCTGACTTAATTTTCACACATTTACCAGCTCTTGGAGTTTGCAACATGAAACTCTGTTTTACTCCAAAAAGCTCTGCCCCAATATCACATTTAGGAAGTCCTGAATCTGAATGATTGATCAGAGTGCAACTTTTATAAGGTGTTTACACAAAACCTTTGTTGTGAGGTTCTAATCCCTGTTTCTGGCATCCCAGCGTCTGTCAGCTGTTTCTGAACTGGTCCGATCTTTCTGTCAGAAGCAGAAATGGTAGACCGATCGTAGATCTGATATCTGCGAAACGGCTGAATTGTGATTTATTGTTGGGGATTTGTTTGCTTTTATTTGCTCACCTCAGTTCCACCCTTTGAGAACCTGAGGGAGGATGCACCCCCTGTTCCCGAATCCACGGCGTTGTCGTTGTTTGTGGGGAAAATGAAGGGAATACAGGGTCACAATAATTCATGCTACCTGGATTCTACACTCTTCAGGTAAAACCAGTTCACTCTCCCTGTGGGGCATTTGACGTAATATTACTAGAGAATCACTTTCATCTCCCATTGTTGAAAGGAATTGTATTCATCGTAGATCGTGTGCGACCCAGATAAATGCACCRGGGCTGATAAGGCATTGTTTCTGTTCTTCTCAGCCTGTTCAGTTCATCTGTGACTGTGGATGCCATCTGCCACAAGCCTGCAGACCAGGAGCAGCCCATCACCTGCACTCTGAGAGCGATCATCAACCGTTTACGCAGGTATAAACACAGCTCATCTGGTTTCTAAAACAAAAGGCTTGATAAATCTATGGGAGTTTACAGATGAGGCTTTGCTGCAGGCAGGGCTTTGTGCCAGCGGAGAGTGTGATGAATTTTCGCAAACAACTTGGCTGTGAAACCTTCAGCACACATGAAAAAGGTATAAATCTATATATTCTAAGACGTAACGAGGTCATTGTAACTAAAACGGCTGAAGCTCACTGTGGATCTGTGTGCCAAAACAGACCCTGAGGAGTTTATCACAGTCCTCTTTCAGAAGGTGCTCTGCATCGAGCCTCTGCTGAAGCTCAGGTATGCTCCTAACCCACCCCGGGTTAAATATCTTACCCTGGTTTTACCTGTGCACCTGAGTGACTGGATATCTGTGTCACCTTAGATCAGAAGGAGGAACCTCTCAGGGAGCGTACACCCTCCAAATCTTCCTGGAAAAAACACAAATCCGACAGACGCCCACCGTCCAGCAGCTGCTCGACACGTCCTGTCTGTCGGGCGGCCTCAAATTCGAAACCGTGGGTCCTTTAACCAGTAAAATAATCTCAGCTTAGGCTTTCTGTGAATGTTGAATCGATAGTCTTTTTGTTGTGCCACAGATGCCCTCCTGTTTAATCATTCAGATGCCCAGGTGTGGAAACAAGTACAAGATGTTTTCTTACATTATTCCCTCCACTGAGCTGGACGTTACAGATCTGCTGTACAACTGTGAGCAGCTGACACTACACACTGATGAGTCTAGGAAATAAAAAAGCTAAAAAAAAAACGTTCACTGATCACCTCCTTTTATTCCTCATCAGCTCCCAGGGAATGCTTCATCTGTGGATGTTTGGCAGAGTTTGAATGTCTTCAGTGTTTACCAGACTCCAAACTGCAACCAGGAAGAATCAAACAGTTCTGCAGTACCTGTAACACACAGGTGGACATTTTGAACCATGTTAGAGGTGGATTAGTTCATGAAATAATCCTGCAGTGTATCATTTATGTTTGTATTTTCCTTTTAGGTGCACGCCAACCCATCCCGGCGCAGCCACTCACCCAGTGCACTCGTAGTCCCAGCAGGTGTAGCTGCTGATAGTCCTGTTCCCAGACACACAGTCCAGCTGTTTGCTGTGCTCTGCATTAAAACCAGCCACTATGTGTCCTTTGTCAAATATGGTCCTGATCCACACTCCTGGTTCTTTTTTGACTGCATGGCAGACAGATTTGGTAAGAGATTTCAGCTGTTTGGTAATAAATTACCTCAGAATWGAATTTATTCTGATGTTTGTTTTATTTGTTTTAGATCCTCAAGTTGCTTGCAAATTTTGATATGTTTTTTTATTTTTGTAAGTGCAGCCTTGACAGTGATAGATAAAGGCCCGCTTGAGAGCAGCTCTGACGTCTTACAGCTGGCCTTTATCTCAGTTTCTGAGCTGATCTCYAATCTTAAGGTCGCTCGCTCTTTCTTCAGGTGACGATCAGAACGGTTAYAACATTCCTGAGGTCCAAGCTTGCCCTGAGGTCGGTGACTTCCTGTGTCAGCCAGAGGAGGAGTTGTCCCGGGCTAATCCTCTTCAGGCTCCGGAGCTGGTTCAGAGGCTGCTGTGTGACTCCTACATGTTTTTGTACCACATGCCAGCCGTGTCACTTTTTCAAAGCCAAACAACGGAGAACACTAAACGTGTTTGAGGACAAGGACGCTGTGTTCCATAACAGTGCCTTTTGACAACTTTACATCTCGGGTTTATCTACTTTTATGCACTTTAATGCATCCAGACAGCAGGAACTGAAATGGACGCCTGGAACTCCAGAGTAGGAAAATATAAAGTTATGTTTAGAAATCTGGGTTTGCAATGGAGAGAATTTCAGCACAAGGAAAATATAATACTAAACTACTTTTAATAGTCCTTTTGTTTTTTTGTTTGTTTGTTTTTTACCTTTAATTGCTTACACTTGTTGCACTAATTATTTCTTCTAACCATTTTGGTAAACTAAAGTTAAGTGCAATAAAACATGTAAACACATGTCTTCATGATACTTTATGTTAACTTTAGGATGCAGTTCACTCATCCTCTCTCATCCTGAGGTAAAACGTTKATGCTTTTGTTCTTCTTGAGACATTTTTAATTTTAGGTTGTTTTTTTTTCACTTTTGTGAATACATTAGCTGATTAAAGTGTAAAACACTTCAACTGAAACCAATAATTACACATCAGCAAGTACTTTAATTCTAGGGGTTTTAAGGAAAACGCAGCCTCGTGGGGTCCGGGTGCTCCTTTGGGCCCCACAACTTCAGAGGCTGATTTTGGGTGTGGGGGTTGGGTTTAGGACCAAGGTGTGAATTGAGTTTAGGTTAGTTTTAGGGTCAGGAAGGTACCTGTGAGGTTAGCCTTTGGGTTTGTGGTCAGGGTTAGGAAGTAATATTACCAAAAAATGAATGGAAGTCAATGGACGGGCCCCACAAGGTTATAAAAACAAGTTTGTGTGTGTAGGCGTGTGCCCTTATTTTTGCTACTTGGTGGGTACAGTTTTTCAGGAAAATTCAGCCTCGTGGGAACCGAATGCTCCTTGTAGGGATCAAAGCCCGGTCCCCATGACTTTGGAAGCTGATTTTGGGTGAGGGGGTTGGGTTTAGGACCAAGGTGTGAATTGAGTTTAGGTTAGCTTTAGGGCAAATGGTCAGGGTTAGGCTATACAATTACCAAAAAATGAATGGAAGTCAATGGAAGGTCCCCACAAAGACACTGATGTGTGTGTGTGTGGGGGGGGGGTCCTACAATGTGGGGACAATTTTTTCTAAAGAAAGTAGCCTCATGGGGATCAATGCCAGGTTCCCACGGTCCACAATGTGGACTAGAAATTGACACTAAACTTCTAGATCCTGTTCATCGATTACTTTTGACACGTGATCAGGGGAGAGCACGAACGCAGCCCCCCACTACCAGAAATTATGCGGTCGAGATTCCCACATTTGGGGAATTCGCATAGGTCAGCACAACCGGAGTGCAATGGCTGAGCCTCACCATGGCTGAACCATTTTTTTTTTTCAAATTTTCAAGATATTTATTGGTTCTTATCAGTGTTTTCTTTTTTTTACAAATTATAAAACAACAATTTAACAAATAAACACAAAAACAATAAAAACGTTTGTATATCCATACATAAAAGTCAAGGACAGGTGCTTACAATCACAAGAAATTTTGCATTGTCCACAATCCAATTTACACTTCACAACCTCCACAGTCGACATCCTTAATATGTGCTAATGTTAATGTTTAATAAAAATAAAAAAAAACATAAAAAAGAGACAAATATTTCCAACTAATCAAAAAGTGTTGGCATTCTCCACAATCTAACTTTCGCCTCATAATTTTTACAGTCAGTATCTTTTAACATATAATCGTTTACCAATGTTACAATGCTTTTGACAACAGTTCTTACTGGCATTTCATACCTTTTAAAAACTAATAAATTCATTGCTTTCCATAACCTATCTTTAGTACAATTGACTAAGACCCACCAGCGATGTTCATTCTGAGACAAATTTTCTTTTAATGGTCCATAAATCACAGTTTCATATGTTAACTGAACAGTTGTAAACTCATTCAGCCGGGAGAAACRGAATCCCACACCTTCTGAGTAAAAGGGCACTTCCAAAATAAGTGTTGTACAGACTCGTCACCTCCACAGTATTTTCTTGGACACTGAGAGCKCCTTGTTTAGTTTCCCTTCTTAAGAAAATCTCTAGTAGGTAGACAATCATGTACAATTTGCCATGCTAAACCTYTATGTCCATTAAAAAGCATTCTATCATTTACATTACGCCAAACCCTCTTAGTTAAATCTCCCAACAAGTTTCCCCACTGGTGTCATTTGAAGATAATAACATTCCCTCTACCTTCAAACGAGTTAATTGTCCAAGAGATATTTGATGCAATCCAGAGTTCAAAGTTTGAATCACTGTTTCATAATCTGAAGGACATTTTTCTAAAAAGGGGGTATTTAAATTAATTCGATGGTTCCACGTTTTCAATATTCTATGTTCAACCCAAAATCTGGCATAAAGAGCCCACATAATTTCTGATGAACTATCTAGATAGGTGTTACAAACTTAGCTTTAAATTTCTCTCCAATACAAGGTACTGCCCGTCTTCCATTTTCTAATGATCTATACAAAATCTCTCTTCTTAATCTTTCTTGATGTCCACCCCATACAAAACTAAAAAGTATTTTCCTATGTGAAACAAGAACCTTAAAAGGAATGGGGAGGGTTGTTGCCAAGAGACTTCTCTTTTGCATRTGACTAACCTGTTTGTCCACCATGTGGAGGCAGTGTTTATGAGGCTGAGTTCACCTGAAACTCATCAGACTGAAGAAGTCTCTTGGAGGAGAGACGAAACGTTTCACTAAAGAAGAACCCATCCAGAGGACCTACTTATTTTTTCTTTTTGATACATTCACTGACATTAAACAAGACTTGAAAACAGGAGTTTCTACTAATCCAAAGCCTGTGAGAAAACATTRTTTACCTTTTGCATTGCCTCGCAATATTGTTTCGCGTTTGCACGTAAGTTTGTTTTTTTATGAAAGAATTAAATCAGACATTTATTTTGAAATATCCGGTTACCAAAATAGGATGTATCACCACAAGTTTGTAAAGTTGACATTGATGCTACGTAGCTGCAGTTATATAATATCTGCGTAACATAACATACTCCCTATGCAACCCCCCTAGCATCCATTTTTCAGTTTGATAAGTTGTCTGCATGTTAATAGTAATGACCCAACGTTTGTTGGATATTACTTTTTATTTACAGATAAGGGGAGGTGCACCGGTCCTGGAGGTACTGCAATACCAGGTCGATGCGTGGAGTGGACGGAGCAAGCCCCTATTCCATCTCCCTGTTCCAGAAATCAATTTAATATATGGTCCCCGGGTAGGGGACGTATCAGATATTAAACTGATAAGAACAGATACTACACTTGATCTTAGCCAAAAGGCCGAGAAGCGATACCACACAGCTGTCAGAAGAAACCATGTCATCCTCCTCACTGACGTTCTGACTCACGGTTCAGAAATTAAATTTTATATTTTGTGAGTTAACTTTTCATTTTTCTATTTTACTTCGAACCGTAACGATGTAAAAMTACAGGTTGATTGATCGTTTTCTGGCTTTAAATTTAAACTAATGTTTACAGATACACGCTAACGCACTGTCTTCCGGGTCACGTGATACATTGTAGTCCAATAGGACAACAAARAMACTCAGACAACAAAAACAGCAAAAATCTCTTCACAAAAAGGGATAATATGAGCTATATTACATTTGTACATCTATACAGGGAATTTACTTTGCATGTTTTAAGTGAAATAAAACGCTTGTGAGTGAAAACGCTACGATTCAAACTCGAATCAACTCGAAATGTTTCAGCTGTATCCAGTGGAGAAGAGGGGGAACTGCAGAACCTCATGTTCAATTCCCAAAGATAAACATTTATCCACAATAACTTGAAGCTTTTAAGTTCTGGAGTAGCAATACTTATATTTAATTAAGCGAGCAATAATATCTACATAAAATATCCTGATGCATCTCAGTAATCCAGGTAGAAAAAAAGAAAAAAAGTAGGGGAAACCAGGGACAAAAGCAACAAAGGACAGTTGCAACACGTCATTTTTCTCCAAACAGAAAGAAACTAGTGTGATGACACTCACTCTGTACATGCTCAGTTAGATGCCCCACCTTGCAAATAAAAAGTGAGCAGATTCCAAAACTGCTC